AAATGAGTGCCCATGAGAATCACGTAGCTCTTATGTGAAAAATACGATGGAAAAAATCTACGTATGTTTTCACGTAGCATTAACGTGAAAATTATTCTGAGTGTTGTGTAGTACTAGAATTTTGACTAGAATGGGGTACGTTAATCGTTTGCTTGGGACCAATAGGCTAGTCAAGTAGTGAGCCAATTTAAAATCGTTAGTTTCCACCGGTTGGTAGAACCCCATTAGTTCATATAGCTAAAATTGCAATTACACGGTGCTCATCTAGAATTGGTTAAACTGATACCCATACAAAGGTGGGTAACGCCATTGGGCACCTGTGCAGCAACAGTTCAACCAATTCTAAATAAGCTTACTCCTCACTGGCTCTGCTTCACCCTCGATTTGAAGCATAATATCTACCATTTTTCACAAGCACAACGCACGCATGCACTGGCTGCTTGTGCGAGTATATGTGCAGCATCATTGCAGTGACAAGCGAATCTATACGATACCAAAGGTTATACCGAAGACAACATATCAAGAGGACTGGCAAGTTTGCCTGAATCCAAGCGACAGACACAGTAGCGCCATAGAGGTAACTCTAAGACCACTGGGTCCCGAAGAAAATCATTATTATTTTTGGCTCACTCAGTACCAGAACAACGGTTAATGACGGGTTATTGAATAAAAAGATTATAAATCAATGTTATGCACAATTATACTAAAATAATATTTTTTTTTTTTATATTAATTTATTTGTACAGGCTCAATCGAATAAACTTTACAGAGCCGAGTTATCATTTGCATTATACATGAATAATGTCTTAAATCTAGAGTTAAAGGAATTGAACCGATTACTCGCGGTCGTCTCGAGGTTAGTGGAGATTTACAATTTTTTGGATGGGGAAAGGGAGAAGGAGGTTTGAAATATGATTTATTATATAAATATTTAATTAATCCTAAAACATGAACTTATTTCTATTCATCTTGAAAACAAACATAAAAAAAAAACTACACGCACAATACACAAACTAAACACAAGGTTAATCAAACTTACAATCTAAGGTTAGTATTCTTAAAGTAAACATATATGAGTTTCATAAACTCCAGATCACGATAATATATATTTCAGATGATAATTGAAGATGATAGATGAAGACAAGGAAAACAAAGAAAGAACATAAAAATGGAAGTAAGGGCTGCCAGCAGATGAATCAAGAGGTATTCGAAAAAAAAATTGGTAAGAAATGTCCATTAAAATTGATTTAATACAGATGAAAAAATTTCAAAACTATATACATGCCAGATTTGGAAATAATAGTTTTTGAATCTGGAACTGTGTTTATGATACCATTATCCATTTGATAAAGGTAGAGTAAACATGCGGGGCTTATTGTAAGTAAAAGTGACCTCGGAGTGGTCGTGAATTACCAGGCATTCTGAAATGGGTCACTGGAGCTGCAATAGAGCTAACACCTTCTAACTCCCGGACTAAACCTGCTTTAAATTAAGAGTAATAAAAAGCAGTTTTCTTCCTTAATAACACTGCCGGACAGTGGGGGTTGGATTGTACACACACACACACACACACACACACTCAGTACCAGAACAGCGGTCCCAAGCAGTCCCAAGCTATTTCACTCACCCCTGCATGTTCTGCATGAATCCATACACCCCTGATGTTATCTGTCAAACTTTCATAGCGAATCAAAACAAACATAGTGTAGTACTAGAATTTCAACTAGAATAGGGTACGTTAATCGTTTGCTTGGGACCAATAGGCTACTTAAGTGGTGAGCCAATTTTAAATCGTTAGTTTCGTATTGATTGTTGGTAGCGCTGCGCTCGAACGAAGGTGGAAGCAACGCATAGAAAAATTAGCAAATAATACACCCAACTTTTTTCTGAGGATGGAAAATTTGCTTTCCAATTATATAGTAGCATTTACCTTAGAGCGGCAGATGACGCGATTGTGCCTGTCTCATACCGGTTGTATGAGAGAATGGAAGAGTTCCCAGTCTTCTTGATATGTTGTCTTCGGTTTTACGGTAGAATTTCGACTAGAATGGGGTACGTTAATCGTTTGCTTGGGACCAATAGGCTAGTCAAGTAGTGAGCCAATTTAAAATCGTTAGTTTCGTATTGATGGTTGGTTATACCCTATGCTACACGGTAAGAAAAAAGTACCCAAAAGAAATTTTTTTTTCACTCATATCGGCACTATACTGCAGGAACCCAAAAGTAGGTAAAGCGGGGCTAAGTAGTTTTCATTTACTTGTGTGCAATTCGTATGAAATTTTCCATTGGCCTTCAACGCAAAAGTGGTAAGTTGAACCCAAAAGTAGGTAAATATGATTATACTCAACACTGGGTTCCCACACTTCACTGCCCCTGTTGGGTGGTAGTCAAAAGTAGGTAAAAGTGAACTTAGGTACTTTTTTCTTACCGTGTACAAAATGGAACCAATGTTGCCGATTCAGAAATAGTGCAGAGTGTAAAATTAATCATTATATTCTACTATCAAAGTTACCCGCATTATCAAAGATACCCCGTTTTACGGTACTATCACAGACAAACAGACATAACTCTGGCAATTTGTTTATCGAACACGCATTTAACGGTCAATTTAAATGTTTTTATTTGGTAGAACTGCCATCTGTGGCACGCACAGTCAATAACCCTTACGTTTGACGTTTACACACTGCCTCCATCTGTTCAGCGTACTACCCATCAACAGATGGCGGTAGTGTTTTAGCCTCGGTTTTAGCGACGATGTTTTATATTGAAAAATATTCAATGTGTTATGTAGGTTTGTCTGTGTTACTACGATTTACCGAGAAGAAATTTTAGTTTAAGCACAGACAAACAGACGTAACACTTCATTGTGTATCTTCGTTCACGCATTTAACGGTTGGTTTGAATATGATCAGTTCCGCGAACTACTCGCCGCAGCGCTGACATCGGATCACTTTGACGTTTCTATACATTCTATAGAACTGCAATATTGTTTGCGAGTTAGCGAGCAAGCTTGTTTTCCGCTGAGGTCCTATGTTTTGAGATACTATGTTTTCAAGAAAAACTTTTTCAAAGAGTTACGTCTGTTTGTCTGTGGTATGACACTTGAAATTCATTGCTTCTTACAAGTTCCCTCACTTGCGTTTGCTGAAGGTTGCTGCAGCTTTCTGCAAGTTGCTGTAAGAAAATAATATGGTGTATCAAGTACGGGAACATATTTTTGCTTATTGCAAGTACCGTAAACGGGGTATGTTTGATAATGCGGGTAACTTTGACAGTAGAATATAATGATTTAATTTCCTCTCTGCCCTTTTTCCGAATTGGAAACATTGGTTCCATATTGTAGCTTAGGGCATTTCCTTTGATATCGTATATAGTTTTTATATTATAGGTATGTGTTACATGTTTTCCAAAAATATTAAAACACAATTTTCTTGTTTTTTCCTGTTTGAAAAAGTACTCAAACCAACACTCCGTTATATCCATCATAAATTAAATATTGTCTTCTTATTGATTATGATGTTTTCTGATCGATACTCATTCAAAGTTTAATACTTGTTTAATTAAATTGTTTGGGTTTCAGTCATGTTTTTCCACATTTATCGAGCATTATCAAAGTAAACCCAAATCAAAATACTGATGTTCGGTCACAAGACTTAAAAAAAAAGTGCAAATGCATATTACTAACGAAGTGACTCTATGATCCTCAGTACTTCTCATACTCAAACATTCTTTTATGTAGAAAATATTTAGAACATACTTTAAAAAAACCATCAATGTTACCCTGATGGTGAATTGGGAAGATGGTTACATTCTATTCTCCCACATGTGTCGAACAAACCATGGTTCAAAGGGTTGGACATGAGCCGCGACTTTATACGCGTTATATCAAGGCTTATGTCCAATCACTGCTCGTTAGACTCGCATTTCTATCGAATTGGGCTCTCAGGCAGCAATTTATGTGCGTGTGGCAGTGGTTATCACGATATCGAGCATGTTGTTTGGTTATGTACCTTACACCGTGTTGCCAGATCTGAGTTATCCACATCCCTCAGGGCCCGAGGAAAACAACCCGCGATACCCCTTAGAGATGTCTTGGCGAGCCGAGACCTCGACTATTTGAATTTAATTTGTGTGTTTTTAAAACGGATAGATTTGAGGATTTAGTAGTTAGTGTCGTATTGTGTTCTCCCAAGTTGTTAGCTGCCCATCGGTGTACCCCCATGTTTGTCTTTTTCATCAGAGTGTCGCATAGTTCGAGATCAAGAGCACATTGCTCTCCAAACCTTGTGTTCACAATCCCCACCCTGCCATCCATTTGTTACAATTTGTTACCCCTAACCTCGAGATAGACGCGAGTAATCGGCCCCCGCTTTACTAACATTAGTTTTAAGTAATTTTGTTGTCTAAACAATGAATATCGGCTCCGCAAAGCTACAGTAAATGAGCCTGGAAAAATAAACGAATTATTATTAAAAAAAAAACAATGTTACCCGTTTTACGCTACGGAAAAAGACCTAATGTAAGTAGTATTCACAGCTGCAAAAGACAATGTTTGAACATATAAGCTGTCCTGCAGTAGGGATAGCTAAAAATTCTTCACGCCGATGCACACCGCCAACGTAACCCGACAGAAATTTGACCTGGGTCAAGGGAAAAGCGGGCAGCGGCCCAGGATGGAAGTCTTTCACGAGGCTATATGCGCTGATAGTGTTCTTGATAGGCCCTTTTCAAATGGTTTGCGAGAAATGAGGGAACGTGCCCAATAAAGTGGGTCCTAATGCCGTCCATATCATGACGCCTTACAGGCCCCTAAATCTACATTATTGATAAGAAATCCTTTGATTGCCAATGTGTGTCCGGGTATCAATAAATTGAATAGCACTTTGCGAGAATAATATACATACTTGAGAAGGTGATTTTTTTATCTACATTCTGATAACAACCCGTGTGCGCGTTGAATGCGAACTTTTGTTGGCCCAGTCAGTCTACAATTTGCAGCGTTCTGGTGCGGTTTAAGCTACACCTGAAATTAACAAACATTCGAGGATGGAATTTTGGATACCTGTGCACCATCAGCGATAGTGGAAAAAGTGTGCCTCCTTATCAACGCCCAAGCCCTTGCACCACACTCATCATAATTGATGTATTATTTTCTTCAAAACACTTAGTGACTGTGTGACAAGAGCCCGTGTAAACCAGTAAATCAGGTGTACTGAAGTGATTTTTTACTTGTAAAAACGACATTGAACAAAACTAAATAATGGAGCTTCAAAATCAAATTTATTTGATAACTGCCATTTTCGGTGGAGTATGCACACTTTTACTGGTGTTCATCATGGTGTTGGCAATCTATGTGATCAATCTCAAGAAGACTATGATTGTTAAAGAGCCTGAGTAATGCGCACATTTATGTTCACATTTCATGAAATAATTCAATGTTTGCTATTGATCAGGAGAAAATATGAAAACTATGGATTCGAGCATGACGTTCCTGTTCATAACATAACGGATGATCTGCGGTCTATGAAGTCTGAAGTTAACCGACGACCACCACCACCGCACAAAAGCAATCTTGCGAAACCGTAAGTATGATGAAGTTAGTGTTTAGATAAGATCTGAGTAATATCTACTGTTGTGCAAGGTGCTTTAACGAAAGTCCAAGTAGTAGTAGTAGTATACTTTACAGTTCAAAGCGAAGTGAAAAAATGCCAATTGCGTTTTTCACGCTGGTGAAATATTTTGTATTTTGTATGAGATTTTCGCTTCGCTTCGATCTCTATACAGGCCTTAACAAACACTTAGGCTCTGAACCATTTGGTGGATTATTTTAACTTTTGGTTAAAATTTGACAGATGAAAAGTTATCGATTAACCCTGCTATCCGAGCATGGTTATTTCTGACAGACAAGAAGTTAAATTTTGACAACCGTGGCTCGAAAACCGGTCGATCGACAGCACGGGGATTTTCGAACATAGAAAATAACTTTCGAAATGTCACTTTTAACCACGAGTTAAATTTAACTCGGCAAATGGTTCACAGCCTTAGCGTTAGCGCTTCTGCTCGTTACTGTCAAAGATAAAGCACATCAGTGACAACATTTTAAACCAATATTAGGTAGAAATGCCGTCAATACTTTAACATGCACTTTACTCATAATCTTAGTAAAAAGTATCGTTATTTATCTTTAAATATTACTGATATTTTGCATTTTTCTACGAAAGAAGCTCTCCTTGATGAAGTTCGAGGAAAATTCTAAGAAAAGTTGAAAAAAAAACCCGGGAAACTTCGAAGACACGAATTGAGAAACTTTGGAAACTATCGAAAAAAAAAGGATCCAAAGGAAGCCAGAAAATTTCGGAAATCGGACGTAAATTTCCAGAAGTAGCCATTTCCAGGGAAAGCCAGAAGAAGCTCGGAAAAACTTTCCAATAGAAGTCGAACAAAAAAACCTTTGGCTTATGGTCAAACTTCCAGAAGAAGACGAAAGAAATTTCTGAGAGAATTAATTGAATTTCCTGGAGAATACGAAATAAACTTCCTGGAGACGCTGGCAGAAACTTCCTAAGGCAGATTGGAAGAAAGTCGGAAGCCAGAGCGCTTACGGAACAGTTGAAAGAAACAAGGACATAATTCATAAAACATCCCTGAAGACTCCGCAATTTCCCTGAAGTTTTCGGAACATTCCTGAAATGCACTTAGAAATATTGCCTAATTCCTAGAAATTCCTTAAAAGTTCTTGTAATTTTCCTAAAATTAGGGGCTGTTTTGGAGTTCTCTGGTCATCCTCGAAGCGCTTGGAATTTCCCTGATTATAATAAGAATACCGGAATATTTCTAATCATCTTTGAAGGTCTCTGGACTTTCTTGAAGATTACTAAATCTCTTAAGTGCTCTCACAATTTTCTTGAATTTATTGAAACATCAGCACTGAAGCTCTCTGATCTTCCCGATTTTTTAATTTTTAAAAGTTATCGACCTTAGCATTAAAAAGCATAGAACTTCGCAAAAAATGTTCTCACAATGTTCTAGTGTTCATGTAACTTCCCTTACGTTTCCTAAATTTGCATGAGCCCCTCAGGACATTGCTGAAGTTTTCAAAAATTGCCTGAGTTTCTCGGAACTCCTTTATAATTTCCGAGGGGGACGACTCTATCTATGATGCAAAAAAGATTGTGTTTTGCTGTGGCTAGGTGCGCGCACGCTGAGTAGATAGAAAGAAGATTGATGACGATTCTGAAGATGATGAGCTATGCAAGTAGATGCGACAAATGAAAGAAGATTTTTCGAAGATTGATTCGCTAGTGTGAGATTTGTTGAGCATCTAAACTTGAGATTTAGATGAGTTGCCCCCCTCGATAATTTCAGCAATTTCATTGAAATTAATTGATCGGTCCTGATGTTCTCTGAGCTTCACTATAGTTCCTGAATATCATTAAATTTCTCTGAGTTCTCTGATTTCTAGAGTTTGCTGGACTTTTCTGAAATTTCCGGCTTTTCGAATTTTAAAAGAAGTTAATGAAACAGTCTTTAATTTATCAAAACTTACACAAAAGCCTGGATTTTTCTGAAATTTCAGAACTTCTCAAATGTTCCTGCAGCTAGTGTGGATCCCCAATAAAAATCTTATAGCATCCTTGAAGTTCCGGGAAAATTGGAAAGCCGAAGAAGCTTCCATGGTAAGTTGGAAGAAAATTCCAGGGAAAGTTGGATGAAATTTCAGGAAGTTTAAAAATGAATAAAAACTTCCGTAAGTTAAATAATGTTTAAACAATATTTATCGATTCCCTAAGAATTACCGGAACGAGCCATCGACTGTTTCTTGATTGATGGATAGTCAAAAACGGTGAGGAAATGCAAACATGAGTCGAAAGAATATAAAGCATAAGGCATCTTTAGAGATGATTGTTTAGAATTTTGAAGGCTCAAAAATATGAGGTATTCAAAAAGATACAAGTCTCTCTCAAAAATTTTCTCCAAAATTTGAGTACGGGCAGGCAATAATAAATTTGATTATTTACAAAAAAATCGGTATAAAATCTCAAAAATCGGTATTCTGAGGAACCTTATCTGTGTATCGGTATCTAGTTCGGAAATCGGAATAAATACCGATAAATCGGTATATCTGGCAACGCTGCTGCTGACATCTGGCTCCGTGTTTGCGGGAAATATTTAGCTAAGCCATGAACCCGCAAGCAAAATGTATGAAATGGTTCGTGTCTGATCTATTCTGGACAAATTATTTTTATCTAGATAAAAAAAATCCTATGGTTTCGACAGTTCGGATCACTGCACATTTAAATCGGCCGTTAACGATTTTCAGCCATAAGTCAGAATTAAGTGTCATGTCGGTTTGTAGGTGGTTATGTGTTGTCCGTTGTTTAGTGTTCTGTCTGTACATCTTTTGGTTAAAGACGGTGTCAATAAGACGTCGCCTTTACTCACTGGTATTATATGCCGGAAGGAGGTGCTAGATATTATAGATACTATAGATTCCATAGACAATATAGATAGGAATCTATAGCACAGACATAACACATTGAATATTTCTCAATGTAAAACATCGTCGCTAAAACATTACTGCCATCTGATCAGTACACTGGTCAGGTGGGTAGTACGCTGAACAGATCAGGGGATGGATATGGATATGTCATATCGCTTAAGTTTGCTGCGTACCGAACATCTGCAACGTTGTCAGCGGTACCATGATATGTTTTGTTGTTTTGATGTTAAGTACGTGTATTCAGCTATATGCCAAACCCCTGGAACAGATGGCGGTAGTGTGTAAATGTCAAACGCAAGGGAATTGACTATGCGCGAAACAGATGGCGGAACTACCAACTACGATACTTTTAAATTGACCGTTAAATGCTAGTTCGATGAACAACTTGTGAGAATTATGTCTGTTTGTCTGTGTCTATAGTATCTATACTAGTTATAGAGCTGTTTGGCATTTAATCGGCGCACCCTACTGCACCATTTAAGGTGATTCGCTGTGACATCCTTATTCTCGTAACCACTTCGAAACATTAAGTGCACAAATATCAGCTAGCTTCTACGGCACGTGTAACATTCAAATTATTACTCCACGTTTGCTGTACTGCAGCAAACATGAAGTAGCAATTTCAGGTGAAATGGGGCACCGATTTCCGAGATTTGTGCAATTGAAAATTTGAAGTGGAAGTGCATGTATAGCCTGCGTTGCGGCCATTTGTGGACTCAACAATGAATCATCTTAAATCAAACGAGTGCGAGCAAGAGGGAGACAGATTAGTGGGAAAACAAACCGTCTATTCATCCATGTGTGCTAGTTGGAGAAAGACGATTGAACGTCAAAAAGGTCTATAGACTCTTTAATTCAGTGCCAACATTTCAAATGGGCGTAATTGCTTTTGTAAACAATGGCTTTAGCTGTCGATTTCTCGCAACTAAAAGTTCACCCCTCCAAAATAACAACGCTAACTGGTAGAGGAAACATTCCTATACCTGTTGGTGTCATTATTTTTCATGACTGCTAAAGCCATTGTTTACAAAAGCAATTACGCCCCTTTGAAATGTTGGCACTGAATTGATGAATTTACGTGACGGTCGACCAGCAGATAGAAATGATGTGAAAATGATAATGACATTTTGCTACCTGTCAAATCGTATGAAATATTTTTTAGTACATCATCAGTTTTGAAACTGCAAATCTCAAAACTAGGTGTCGCATGTCCAGTTTTACTTACCTTTGCTTAAATTCATCAATTATTGCGCATTTCACACCAAATTGAACTAATAAGCGCGTTTTCACTTATTAAAAAGTGTGATAAAATTGCTGGTTTACGTCTAATCGTCTAGGTGTCTTCGGTGCACTTATTTCTTATGATGCAAGCAATAAGTGCTCCGAAGACACCAAAACGATTTGACGGAAGCGTGCACTTTTATCACACTTTTTGCATTTTTGGGACAGTCTAGTTTCAGATGCAATTTTTTGTTGTCTTATCAAGCAGCACTTCTAGCATAGCATCTGAACTCAAAATCCTGCATGATAAATCCTAGAATTGGATTTAAAATTCCAAGAAAAACTCAAAATAAAATGAAAAAGTGCGTCTTACCCCGGGGTGCGTTATGTACTGTTCTCCCCTACCAGAATTAATTAAGTGGAATTAAATAAAAGATACGCTTTTTTGCTATTTTATTTTATTTGCTTTTCTAGGTAAAAATATTACAGCATTCAAAGAAGATTGATAATTTGTCACAAGCAGGGTTCCGGGTAATGCTAAGCCAATCCTGTAAGGTTTTGCACCGCCGGGGTTAACCTCAATCGGATGACGGTTCAGTTGTATTGTTTACGTGGAATTATTCGATTTTTTCCGGATATTGCTCGTGAACATTGCAGAAATGTTACCATGTTTAAATTTCACTCAATTCACTAGATTTTTAAATTTTGTTATGTTTCATACAACAAATGTAATGGCAGTTCATGTAATAGACTACAGTGTACAAGTAAGTTTTTCCAGAATGCATTATTCATATAAAACCGTCATGAGATGATTTTCTATAGGTATGCAATGCATTTGGAAAAACAAACTTTTTTCGAAAATTAAGCTATCATAATACTAATTACAAAAAAGCTTAGAAAATCTTCCAGCGACCACATGACATAATCTGTTCATGAGGTCAAACATTGCAAATTCTGCATACTTTTCATGCTAATCTGTAATCCTACATTTCCCGGTTGGGTTTATATTGATTGCCGAAATATCAGCAAAATCATGAGTTGCCGTGTCGAATCAATTTTTTTTTCTGCCGAGCTCGACAATCAGTTTTAAGTGTGTAAGAAAAAAAATAGTGAATTCAAACATTGAAAATTTTTCAAGATCCATGATTAACAAAATAATTTAACATTCTGAGACTTCCATTAATAAAAAATTTCAAGATCCTGGTCTTAGAAAACTGTTTAAGATTATGGAGCTTGAATTTATAAAAAGTATGCTGGTGGCGGCTGGGTTCGATCGATTCCCGGTTCGGTTTAGGTATTTTTCGGATTGCAAAATGTGTCGACTTCTCTGGGCATTGGCATTGTACTTGCCACACAATTATACTAATGCAAAAATGATACTGGCTTAGAAAGTTCTCAATTAACAACTGTGGGAGTGCTCAAAGAACACTAAAAGTCCAAGCACATTGGGGCAAAGTGACAGCTAAATCTATTGTCTAACTGTCAAATTTACGTCAACGCAACGCAAACCGATCTAAAGTGGGTGACCCTTAAGTTGAAAGCCGGCGTGAAGTCCATGTAGGGATGTAATAAAGCCTAAAAAAGTAATGTACTTATAAACAGCAAAAAAAATGTAATATCGATCAATGTAATTCAAGCTGATGTATGAAATAATGATGTAATAGTAAAAAGCAGATGCAATATTATATCAATCGATGTACATCGTACAACGTTATATTACACAACCGATGGATTGACCTCGTTGCAGCAGTTTGGATGTAATATTCAACAACTTTTTTTTCTGTGTATGAGAAGAATCTTCTATGGATGTGCATTTTGTAAAATTTGTGACATGAAAAGTTTTCAAGGTTTTAACCTCGCCTTAGAGTTACCTCTATGGTGAAACGATGTTGCTCGTGGACAATGCAGACATGTGGTTTATATCTCATTGCAGACTAAATAATTATCGAGAATATCTGCCCAAGAAAAAATCAACTAAGTCCACGTAAACAGTACCACTGAACTGTCATCAGATTGAGGTTAACCCCGACGGTGCAAAACCTAATTACGTTTGTCCACAATTCGATTTGTCAAACGAGCGATTCGAACTGCCTAACGAGTGTTAAGATCTTTCAAACGAGGTTAGCAAACCAAGGCAATATAAATTCTACTTGTGTTCGTGTTGTTGCTCATAATACGACGCGATTGGATGAGTACATGGCCTCCCTGGCGTCGGTAGCATTGGTGCTCAGCACGGAAAACAAGATCGACGGAAAATAGAGCAAGGAAAAAAAAACTAGGTTCTAGATTTCTAAGAATCTTCTGTTTCCGGCATTATAAGTAAGATGATCAAGGCATTCCAAATGGTGATGGTGCACAGATATATTTAGAATTCTTTCACTGCGCAGCGCCAGTATACATGTGAACTTTCTCTATATGTTATATCTTGAAATACATACTCGCCATATACGAAGTCAGGACATCTACGTGAAGTCCACACACAGCCTAGCGTCGCGTAGTGAGAGAATGGATCACATCATTCGAGCAGTTTAAAATGACGTTTCCTACCACTCGAACTTTAACGTGGAACAATATTTTGATATTTTTTCCTCTACAACCTCGAGAAAATAGGGTCTTATTTGTTATATGCTTGAAAAATCTGGAATTTATTGTTTCATTTCCGTAAAATTGCTGGTAGAAGGTTGTCCCAAAACTGCTCGACAGTATGATTAATTAACCACTTTATTCGAGCACTTAAAATGACGTTTGCTACCACTCGAACTTTGAAATAAAACATTATTTTGAGATTTTTTCTTCTAGAACCTCGAGAAAAGTAGCCAACATTTGTGCGTTTCATAAAAAAATAGAAATTATTTGGTCCAGTTTTGTGAAATCGCTGGTAGAAAGTCACGCCAAAACTGCTTGACAAAGTGGTCAATTCTTTCTCTTTTTTTTTCGTTCTCCTTGTGCTTTGACAGCCGGCGTTTGTTGGTATTTTCAATGAAATCCTTTGTTGCGTTTGATGAGCTGGTGCTAGAGTTTTCGTCGTTGCTTTCAACGTTTGAAGTGTGATGATCCTCAGTTGATTGTCGGTGTTTCGCTGTTGTTCTTCTGGTGAGAACCCGGTGAAAACAGGAGATGATTGACCCGATGCCGTTGGTTGGTGTTGTTCGATATCCATCGACGGCTTGTCGTACGTTACCAACGTTGTTTTGTTGTCGACCGTGATGGAATGACGCTTTCGAGTAGCATTCGCAAAACTCGATAACCGCTCAGGAATCCTTGGAAGTAGTGCTTCCATTTCTCATGTCGACTGGAAATCACTGTCCCGTACTTTGCCATGTGGTTCATAACAGTGGCTTGAGGCCATGCCAGAGGAAGGTCATGCACTCGAACGGTCACTGCTTCACAATCCACATACACCAGGTTTTTGAACTCACTCTTCGCACAGAGAAACGCATGTTTATAGTTGTGCGCCTTTTCATAGCGCAAGGCAACTTCATTGTCTATCATCTCAATAAAAACACAATTTCGGACGTTATGAAACTGAATGGATCTAACGTCCGAATATTGCAGCTTAATATTGTTCTCGAGGAATTTTTGCACTTTTCCCGCATTGGGAACTGGAAGGACACTGAAGTCAACAACAAGTGTGTTTTTACGAACTACACTCATTTTCGCTACAATATTTCCCCAAGTTAAGCAGAGCAGAAAGAGCACACGTCCGATGTATACGAGTAATGGCTGTCCTATTTTCAAAAGATGTTTCACTAAATTTTAATTTCAAAACACTGTCATGATGGTATGGTGCTTCATTTTGATGGGTACTGGCATCAAATAAAAAAGAATAACCAAGCAATATTAGTGACTGTAGAGACTAAAACAACGAAAATAGTGACCACATAGTGACTTTAAAATAATAACAAAGTGACCAATAGTAACATTTATTGATCGACCACTTCGATCGAGACATTTTATTAACTCATAAACCAATCATGAGCATTTTTATACTTCTGAATAAAACAAATGGTAATTCCCATAAAATTGTTCTCGAAAAATAAGTTTGAATTTAATAAGCAATAGTACGGTCCAATTCTAACCTCCATTTCCTCACTCTGCAGTTCTGCACTCTTTTATCTAGGGTAAGTTTGCCAGTTTTTGGCCCAAGTAGTCCTCCAATTGGCTCTATCTTAAATTTCACATATTATTCATTCTTTACAAAATGTATTTCGATACAAAGTTAGGACATATATTTTGCCATATTATTTACAGAAATAAAACCATGTGCATACATTTCAAACTATATATAAGCCAATAACTGGAACACTAAGTGCCATAATTGGTACCTTCACCTCTATTTTCTTGAAAGCAAACAATTTACAAAGTTGATTTTAGATGCATATCGCGAATTGCACATTAGAAAGAATGATTGGAAGACAGAAAATTGGTTAAAGTCTCGGTCCTCGGAATTGGACAAATTTTGACAATTATAATACTGTCAAATTTAAATATCTAGGATATAGAAACTTGTGTAACACTTCAAACATAAACAAATTCATAACTCTGGGACACAGACAACTTTTTTAAGTCGCAGTCTAAGAAAAAATGTCATTGTTCTGGAACGAGAAAAATTTCCCAGTATGTTCGCCTTGAAACCAAAAATTTGTAAGTAATTTTTTAAGGTTCACCGGACAAGTAATAATATGAGATTTATGAAGGTTTAGTCCTACATATATTTAATGTGTAGCAACTTGATTATTTTAGGTTATTTAAAAAAACTATTTACATTTGTTATCGTAATTGTTTATTTTTGCTAGGCGCAATGATGACACTCACATTCACAACAACGTTCGGCGAACAGAAAAACGTCCAGCGACAGCAGGGATGGGTCGCGATGAACGGAAGCGTCAGTATTCCGAAAGCGGTGATACTTCTGGCCGGGACTTCGACAGTGCTTTCGACAATGAGATAAACAACATGTTCGATATCGATGATGAAGATGATGACCAAAGTGTGGTGAGTGATCGAAATTCACGTTACAATCAACAGGGTCGTCAAAAGAGCACAGCACCGCCGCCACCGTCAGTTGGGATATCAGCTAACCGAGCAAATCGCAACCATCAACAGCAGCAGATGGGACGACAGGTGAGAGGGAATGGCTATCCCAATTCTGCATACCATTCGGGCAATCCACACGAAGGGAAAACATACTTTAATGAGCGAGGTATGTATTAGATAAGTACCGAACGATTGCGAACATATAAATAACACATTTATTATTAAAAATCACGATTATATTACTTAACAAAAGAGTATTATTAAAATATATTCAACAATACAAAGAAACACTCTACAACAACATCATTAAACTCTAAAACGACCCCGAACAATCGGAATACCCCTAGAAGAAGACCTACTAAAGGTTCGCATGCTGCGTTTCGGTTTCTTCATGATTTTCCTCGTTTTCACTGAGATGGGAAGTGGTGGACCTTTGAAGTAAGGTTTTTGCATCATGCTTCCACTTGGAAACATCATTTGACGAGGCATGGGGGGAAATCGAGACGAAACAAAAGATGGAGTATCTTCGTATGAAATTTCTTCTTTCAATATTATAGGACGTGCATTCTTGTCGATTTCGTAGTATTCCACTGAGTTATCCAGCATTGGCATTTGACGATACGGTACAAACTTTGGAGCAGTACGATATTCGAAGGAAGGTAAGTAAATTGGATCTTCCAACTGAGCTAACGATTGGTAGTTCCTCAAATTTGTGTTTTGTGGCAGCATGTCGTAGTAAGGAAAACGGTCCATTAGAGGTTCTCTGACAAACTTCTGCGATGAGTACGGTGGGTAAATTGCATTGTTCCGAAATAAGAATGGTTTTTTAATCAAACCATCTTCCTTGAATGAAGGAGGAGATTTTACCATTTTTAGTGGTGACATAAGTGCTTCCTTCCCAGCTTGCTTGGAACCTGTGACAACTAGCGACGATGCAACTGGTAAACTATCACTGTCATGAACTAATGGCGATTTTTCTTCAACTTTCAAATCAGCCACCTGAATGCGGAATTCTTCATCATTGTTCAGAAAATCTTTGCCGATTTCATTGGACTGTTTTTCGAGTTTAGGAAACGATAAGTACAATTGGGGATCACTGGCGATCAGTTCTTCTGCTAGAGGACCTTGCATCACACGCCATCCGTCTTCGGTATCCATGCTGGCTGATGGTATGAATTCACGTTCTGGAAAGCGAAATATGCTTTGAATACTACACAACAATAAACTAACGGTAAGGTATTACCTTCCACATAATCTGCCACTGCACAACTAAACCAAATCACTAGTAAAGTTTTCAGTCGATGCATTGCAAAAAATCAATCAAATCACTTCTGCTGTGCACCAAAACCACCAACGATCAATGAGTAAATGATTGCTGATTACGAATTGACCTATGTTTTATAGAAAGCAATACTAGAGCTTTGTCGTGTGGTCAAGCATGGTCGGTCACAGAAGAAAGTGCAGCGAGTTTCTCAAATATAATAACATATTTCCGAGCCATGCTTCACTATTCTCTTAAACCGATATACTTCGTGCTCTTGGTTCATAATATGACCTTGGATGTCATAGGCCACAGACTTACTATTGTCTCCACTCATCATCCAAAGGAAAGCACACCTGGCGATAGTTCTTGGATCAAATATTAAAAATTAAAATTCAAGGTCAATGTCATCGAATACATCTTAACATAGAAAATTGACTGGACAATTGGTTACTTTCAATACTTTTTAATACTTAACAATAAACCCAATGATAAATCACTAAACAATGCAAGATTCTAAGTTCTACTCAGTGCCAATTGATGTCTCTTGTTCGTTAAATTTCAGTTCCATAGTCTATCACTAATGCAAACGTTCAATCGTGCTATAATTATTTTAGTTACCTACTACGTTACATATTATTATAGGTATCTGTATGTGTTCGGTTTGGTAAAATACTAATTCATAATCTATAAAATTTGTGTCTGGTATAACAGTGGCTCTGATGGAAGGACGTGGAAGGACAACAAATTGCCAACAAATAGCAAACGGTTGGAAATCTACGGTTGATAATTGTAAATTCGGCTTTGTAAAATGCAACGTTTACTCGTTCGTTCTGGTAACGTTTCTGTTTGTTCGATTGACGTTCACTGGAGGGTTGTTTTGAATTGTAATACACATACCGATACAAGGTCAATAAACTCTAATTCTAGCTCTTAGCGTAGTATTTATAAGGTTTTACCTTCGATGGCTGCAAAGAACAGATATTCATGTCTATGAAAATGTAGAAAAACTTTGTAAATTGGGACGATACCAGTGTAAATTGGATAGATCGCTAGGAAGTACTTGGGTTGTAAATTTTAAACGAGAAATGGGTGTTGCTTCTAATTTCAAGTGTTCGCAATGTGCGACAGATCATTTCCCTTGGCAAACATTAAATAAATAGCAGCTGTCCATTTACCGTTAATGGAAGAACGGATTCTTGTTTTGAGCATTCGTTGTCTTGGTCGTGCAGAGTATCTGGCGTTCGAGATGGAAATCATATTCTTTTGCAGCACCACTCACAACGTACATCGTCGGAATCTAAAACAATACATAAAATTATTCAGTAGTAATGCTATGTATTGGCATGAAATAACATACCTCAAAAGAGTATTTACAGAGCAAAGGGTTCAGTACAAATGGCACTCCTTCCATCTCAGTGTGAAAGTTTAGGGTTCCCGTCGAATATGCCGGTGGTCTGGGAGCCGGTCGCTTCGGTGACAGTTGATATGATAGCAGTAACTGTTCATAGTCATGTTCTATAGGTTCAGCAGGCACCTAGAATTGGGGAAGTCGTAAACATGAAGCGAATCCGAAAAACAGCTTGAAGCATGACAGACATAAACCTTCAATGAAACTTATTTATAAGCACACACACTGGTAGCTGGCAAATTAAACACGTGCTACGGTTCATTGCGTACGTTAATTGTGTTATTAAGCTGTTGCTTCCTTTCAGATTGTTATAAAAGCTCAGCAAAAAGCAACAACTTAAGCACAGAGAAGGAAAAGAATTGAGAGCTGGTTTATACATCGTACTTACCGGGTGGAGAGGTTTGTCTTGGCCGGCCTGAATCTTTAGATCTTCAATCGTTTTCTCGAGATCAGTAATGCTTTGTCTAGATGGAACGCTAGGTGGTGCACGGTGGGCCACCAATGTAGTCTTGTAACATATGAGGATGCCATTGATCTCACTGAGGAAAATAAGTTCAACGATGACTGGTTAATTTCATTGCTCAAACGTCAATCCAATGATTATTGTTTAAATTGTTTATAATAGCGTTATTGTTTATAGCGTATTGTTTTGTATAGCGTATCTTATGTCACAGAGTACTTAAATGGATTAATGTAGTGTTCTTTACTATCAAGACTGGTACATATCTACGTCTGTGAAAGCTCAGGACGGAAATCACCTTAGTTACAAAGTTTTGATTGAAATGGGAGGGGCTCCAGAAGAAGTCCCCCTACAGACAAAGTTTAGGGTGGAGGTCCCAGAAGAGAGCCCCCCGTATAGAGTTAATGCCACAATGCATAGTTATCTGATGGTCCAGTAGAGATTCACTGATGACATATCCGGAGCAAATTGTGGTAAGGGCGAAACTACCATGGAGAAAACCCGAGCAAGTTTGCACGTATTGGTTTAATTTTTAATTGAAGGTGTAGCAAAAATTTGTCCAATGCAATTAAATGTATGGTCGTAAAATTTACCCATTTTTATTAGTGTTGAGTGTAAAATCCCCGTTTTGGTCATTTTCCCTTGTAAATTCGTCATTTTTTTTTATAATTTCGGTCGTAAATGCGGAACGTTAAGAATTAATTTTAAGTTATCCATCATTGGGGCTACATTAAGTTTCTTGATGTTAAAAACAACAATTAAATAAATACGACCTCATTAAATCGCCCCAACAGTATATGACAACAACAATATCGCATAATACTATGCAACTTTTTTGATGTTTTTTGTGTCTAAGACTTATCGAGAGGGTACTTTATCCACTAGAAGCGCATAAATTGTTTTGTTCGTAATAGTATCTCCTTATTGTAGAATTGTAAATTAAAATGTACTCAGCCATTTTATATGTTGTCTTTTGTATTTATTGTGTTGCATATGGCTGAGTTTTTGAGTGTCCACAACCAGGGGGCTCAAAATGGAGCTTTTTGGTGTGGGGGAGAGCGAAGGGTACTCAAAAAAAAAACCTGTCACCTTCAACATTTCGTCGTGTTTACGTTTTAGTTAAAAATGAACCTTTTACTATTTTTGCTTTTGTTGGTAAACAACATTGGTTTCGCCCATTCATTGAAATGTTTCAAAATTGGGCCCTGTTCTATAGTAAACAAAGGAAATAGCGTAATCATATATATTTTTAATTTGTTTAGAATTAAATTCTGTTTCGCCTTTTGTTTGGCATGCATTTTTCGATAGTGGAACATTAAAAAATGGGATTTGGTTATTTTTGGTAGATCTTTGTCTGCTCCGTCTGATTGCTTTAAAATCTCCATTTGTTAAATTTTCGCCCTTAATCACTATTTACTCCGGATATATGATATAACTTGCACCATAAATACAAAACTAGTATTGGAGTTTTTTTTGGTAATAGGGGAAATGACGGCTTCGGCATGCCAGACTATTTTCGGCAACCCAAATTGAAACACTATTTTCACTGGATTTTCTTACGAAAACACTTCGCTGAACGCATGCAAACGATTCTTTATTCTTTCAGCTTCAATTTGACTATATTTTTACCACTGAGAAAAAGCAATCTAGCAAGGTTTTCTTGAAATGAAACACACGCACTACAAATTGTAGCTGATTTCGAGTTGCCGATAATAGAACAGCAGATTTACATGCAGTTCAAATGGAACGGTTGCCGAAGAAAAACTGGTTGCCGTATTGTCCCTGGCGTCGGTAGCATTGGTAATCAGTACGTAATAGTACGTTCAGACTACAGAGTTATAAAATGTTATAGCGCTATCTTGATGGTGGTTTCTGTGTTGCAATTAGTTGACAACCGTTATAACATGTTATAACTCTCCAGTCTGTACAGCGTTTAAAACAAGATCGACGGTAAAACAAATCAAGAAACGAACCGAGCCTTACTTCTCGGCAGGGTAAAGTTACCTCCAATCGAATCAGCAGACCAGGGTTGCTTCCACTCACTTGGTATAATGGTATTCCCAAATGTCACAACCGAACATATAACAGAACACACAGCCTTAACGGAAGTATTCACCCTTTTCGAAAATGAAGCAATACATACATTATTTATGATGCCAACTGCAAAATAGGTATTGTTGGTTATTCATTCAATGATAAGTAATGAATAAAAACAATGAAAGTACGTCACGCAATTGAAAAGTCGTTTTCCCTAAAGTATTTAGAATAGAGATAGAAGTGCATTATTTAATCTAACTAGTATGTATAGTCCAATTTAGGAGTGAATTGCGGTAAAACCCGCCGGTACCACATTTGATGTCAGTGCCTTTATACACACTTAGAAATTATTACCGTATTCTATATATAGTTAAACGTACTACGACGTGGCTAAGAAATGAATGAAAAGAATATGTGATACCACAGTCTTGGTCTCCCATGCAGGCTTACAGCATGAGATTAAGCTCTCCCACCTTCGACATATGTGCTTAAGAATTGCCTACGCGAGGGCAAATGACGTCTAAGACAAAGTTGTATGGAAAAATAAAGTCTTTCCAGGCAAAATATACACGGTTATTTTTTCAGTAATTTGAGTTAAACATTAAAAAAAAGTGATAACAATTTAAATAACTCAAAATGTACTTGTTCAATTTTTTGCTTATCAATAATGCAAAATTTTATTACATTAAAATTCTGGGAAAATTAAAATTTGACCATAATTGTAACCATAAAAAAGACCCTTATAAACCATAAACCAACAATAACTCAAATTATAGAACTATTCCACAGATGGTTTGGATGATACTCCGAACACGTCGTTAAGCAAAATAACCATACCAATTTTATAAGGGGAACTCTTGGTATTTATTTTTATTTTTTGGTAGTACCGTAATCCGGGAGGAATTTCTAGACTAACATTTGAAATAGACGTAATTCCAAAATCACCATAACGAGAAAATCGCTGCCGAATTTTGATGACCTAAAAATTAATCCTATTTCACGACCTTCCATTTTCTGAATGTTTTTATAAGCTTGACATATAGTTAATAGTGTAATCTATCATATCATGCATAACTAAAAACAAAACAAAAAAAGTTTTCTTTGTCGTGAAATTGAGAAAAAAAAACATCATACGCCCTGATTAAAGGGCGAACACGAAATTATTGCGACACATTCAACAGGGCATAACTTTTTTACCATTGGGTAAAAATCAACCAAATTTTGCACACTTTCTTATTGATGTGTATTGTGTAAATGCTGTCAAACTCGAAGTCGTGTTTTTCGATTCAACGAAAATGGAGGTGAACCAACGCGAGTTGAGAGAACAAATTCTTTCCAAACACCTGGAATTTCCTGACCTGTCGCACCGGCAGTTGGGAAAAATGTTGAACATTCACCATTCAACCGTCTCCAGAGTGTTGAAGCGGTTCCAGGAGCGGTTGACGTTGGACCACGGCAAAGGAGCTGGAAGAAAACCGGGACCGGAGAACAAAAAGACGGAGGGAAAGGTGAAGCGGATGATTAAAGCAAATCCCAACGTCACAAGCCGTGATTTGGCTAAAAAGATCGGCATGTCGCAGAGCTACGTCCAGAATGCAAAGAAGAGAGCTGGACTACATACATACAAGGTACAGAACTTCCCAAACCGCGATGAGCGGCAACAATCGACGGCTAAAACTCGGCACGGAAGCTCTACGAGAAGATGCTGACAAAATATGGCTGCTGTGTGATGGACGACGAAACGTATATAAAAGCCGATTTTAAGCAAATTCCGGGGTTGGAGTTTTTCACCGGCAAGAGCAAGTTCGATGTGGACGACAAATTTAAGAAGAAGAAAATGTCGAAGTTCGCCTCCAAATATCTCATTTGGCAGGCCATCTGCTCTTGCGGACTGAGGAGTGAGCCTTTCGTGACAAAGGGCACAGTAAATGGCGAGATCTACAAATCTGAGTGCCTCGAGAAGCGCCGTTCTTGCAGCAGCACGACGAAGCTCCGCTATTTTGGCCAGATTTGGCATCATGCCACTATTCTAAAAGTGTCCTGGAGTGGTATGAGGCCAATTCTGTCCATTTTGTTCCAAAGGACATGAATCCGCCAAACTGTACGGAGCTGCGCCCGGACATGAATCCTGCGGACATGAATCCGCCAAACTGTACGGAGCTGGGCAATAATGAAGCGGGAACTTCCGAAGAGCAAGAAGACAGTCAAAGACGAGAAGGACATGTTAAGAAAATGGAAAAAAAAAACTGAGAAACTGGTACCGGATGACACTGTAAAGACTTTGATGGAGGGCATCAAGCGAAAATGCGTTCAATTTTACACTCAAGGCTCCATCGATTAACTTTTCTTTTGATTTTTGAAGTAAATATATGTATAAAACTACCCTAAAATTTTGGTTTGATTCTAAACATTATAAGAAAATTGGCATGACATTTTCGGTGTCGCAATAATTTTGTGTTCGCCCTTTATTTCTTACATATTGTTACCCCCCGGATCTTCCATCCTTTGAACTGCCAACACTGGTGGTACGCCGTGGAAGTAAACCCTCGGGATTTTTTGTTTGTTGTTCCGCCTTGGTTCTTCGTTCGCAAATTTTGTGAGAGTGGAATTATGTCTGGAGATTGTTTGGTCTTCTTTTTGTTCGTTGTTTACACGTGAAATATCAATCGGATGCATTTCAAATGAATCGGGCGTGACTAGATACTACAGAATCAGTACGTTTGGCATATCAAAACAATATAATTCGTAGTTCTGGTGCAAAGCGTAACAACCAGATGCATCATAGAGTTGAAAGTTGGAAACGCGCCATGTAAGAAGAAACGTTTTTGATGATTTGAAGTAATATTTTCTTCTACTTTTTCGTGTTTATCGAGTAGTTTGTGAACTGTTCTCTCTATATGTGGCAAAATATGATTTGTTTACATTTTAGCTCTTCCGCCCCTTTCAAATGTTAGTCTAGAATAGATCACTTAATGTAAATATAAAAACAAGTTTCTACTTTAAAGGAACTAATGATATTGAGGGGAAGTTTACCGCTCCGAAAAAAATTATCACATTTCGATTATTCTAAAAAATATAAGAAAAAGATATCAAAAATAAACATCACATTTTCTTCTAATTTAAAAAATCACGTGCAGTATTTTTTTGGGCCGTGGATAATTGCCAACCCCCCCCCCCCCCCCTTCCTACTTTCTACGTAGTTTATGAACAGCCGCTCATGGAATAATGCTCAAAACTATTCCAATTGTAATATTCTGTTTGATGATTGTTCTGTAGGTCCAAACAGCGCAACATGCTTTTCTTCTGCAAGAAATCCCTCGACTATTGATTTGGTCTTAACTGATTCATGTCAACTTTGTAGCCAATTGGTTACCCATGCTGACTTCGGTTCTGATCAACTTTTGAAGTAGCTTTTCAAATATCCCAAAAAATAATTTCTAATCCCAACAGCTCTACTTTCAATTACCATAGGGCAGATTGGGAGCAATATCGAACATTTATGGAATATAACTTCGATTCAAACATTCCTTTGCAAACCAAAGAACAAGATGAAAATAAATTATGCTCTTTAATCTCTGACTACTTCTATAGAGATCTCCAAGCGCAATCTCACGAACACTAAAATCCAACATCCATATATAAAAATAAAGAAGAAGAAGAACCAAAAAGGTATCGCGATATCACAACTACTTAAAAAGATAGCGCGCGGTCTCACGCACACTTTTGTGTATCTGGAGAACTCTATAGAGTTATATATAGTTGAAGCAAGAGCTGCCTCAGTACCAAAATGCGAGGTTAAATTTGGTTCAACTATAATAGACGATGATTTCAGCTCTTGATCCGTTGAGGTTAAAGTGTATTTTAAAATTGAGCGTACACCTGACAGGATTTTTTTCGATGGTACTTTCCTGAGGTTATTAAAACTGCCCAAAAGATTTCTGAATTTCCTTAAAGTATTTTTTATAAGAACCCACAATTTTACTAAAATCTAAAATTAATTTAATACCCTTGAAGTTTCCACAATTTTCCTTAACTTTTATAAACTATATAAACGCTTACGGAACTTAAACGCTGTACAGACTGGAGAGTTATAACATGTTATAACGGTTCTCAAATAATTGCAACACAGAAACCACCATCAAGATAGCGCTATAACATGTTATAACTCTGTAGTCTGAACGTACTATTAGCCTTAAATTACTAATTTCCCCAGAACTTAGAATTTCTTGCCCCCCCCCCTCCCCATGCGTAGACAATGTCCCTACATTTTTTTTTTTAAATTTGTATGGGCTGTGGATAATTGCCACCGCCTCCCCTAAACTCTGTCTACGTAGTTTATGAACAGCCCTTATTTGGACATCCCTGAAATTTTCTATGCTTACCTGAAGTTTTCGAAATTTGTTTAAAATTCCGGAAAATATATTCATAGATCCCTAACGCTTCTAAAGTTTTCGGATCAATCATAGAATTCTAGGAATATCCCACAATTCCACGGAACTCCTTTTAAGTCGCTGTAAGTTTCCTTAAGTTAATGGGATTGTTCTGAAGTTTTCTGATCGTCGTCGAAGTATTCGGACGGAACTTCGCTGAATATCGTGAAACCATCTAAAAATATCTAAATTTCTTATAAGTTCTCTGGAATTTGTTGAAGATATTGGTGCTTGCTAAAAAAATTCGCATTTTTTTATTAATGGAACTTCGTTGATGTTCTCTCATCAACATTGTTGAATATTTACTTTTTTTTCTTGAAATTTTCATGATGTATCTTAACTTAAAATACTCCCACATTTTCCGGATGTTCACATATTTTTTTGTTGCGTTCGAGAAATTCTATCGGAACTTTGCTGAAGTTTCCGGTAATTCCCTGAGTTTCTCGAAACTTTTTTAAGGTTTCTGTAATTTCCTTGAAATTATTTGAACTACCTTTTGATTCTCTGATCTATCTTGATGTTCTCGAAGCTGCAATGAAGCTCTCAATTCTATTGAAGAGCTCGATTCTGCTCTGAAATAAATCAAATTCTCGAATACACGTTTAAACTTGCCTGAATTTATCTGGACGTATGGAACCAGGTAACATGGAAAGTCATTTACATTCATTTGCCTCTATCTTTTTCATCAACAGAATTCCGTAAAATAATGTATGAAGCTTTTGTAGGTTTTGATATAAGCTCAATAACTCAAAGATTTACCTCGTTTGCATGATGAACCAGAGCGAACAGAAACCACAATTGTTTTTCAGTGAATGTAAATTGCATTAACTGAAAACAATAACAAGTTCTGCCCGCTATAGTTCGTTATGCATTAAGAGACACAGATTTGAGTTATTTACAAAAGTTGAAGCTTATATTAAAACCTACAAACGCTTTATACATCATTTTACTGAATTCTGTTGATAACAAAAGTTAGAGGCGAATTAATGTAAATGATTTTCCATACCTGCATGGAACTATGCTGATTTTTTCTAAACTCACGCTTATAGATCTTTAAACTGCTCCAAAAGTCTGCAATAAAGTTATGGGAACATAACTGATCTCTGAAATTTCCTAAAGATCTCTAGATCTAGCTTTTTTGAGGTACGAAGAACTTCTTAAACGTCCTCAATGTGGCGTTTCCTTAACCTCAATCGACATGTGCACAGACTCTCAAAACATGAACATATAATATAGCTTACAATGGATAGATATCGAGTAAACTAGAAGATTAAATGTATTTTTCAAACGATTCGAGTATTAATATGGCATTAAATCTGGTTTTGAAAGTTGGTGCACAGGTAAAAAGTGATATTACGAGACACCACTGATTGGGGTGAGAAAGCAATCACGCTTACCACTACATCACCGGCGCCGGCGTGCGTTACTTTCTGTTGTTGTTGTTTTACAAAAAGAAAAACATATTTTATGCATTTATAAAAAAAGCTTTCTTAATTTCCGTTAAAGTTCTGGAAAAACCTGAAAACTGGAAAAATTCAGGAAATTTTATTTAGCCACATGAGAAGACACCCTGTGTAAATAGAGAAAGACGATTAAACGCCAAAAAGCTCTATAGAAGCACAATAACAGTTAAGTTACTTTGAATTGTTCAAACATAAGGACAAAATGTAAGCATTGATTGGACTATCAGATCCTACAAGAAGATTGATCAAACTTGAAATAAATTCCCGCCAAAAAAGTTGAAAATAGCGACTGACTACAAGAAAAAGTAACATTAGTGACTTGACCGTAAAAAAAGAGACTTTTTAGTGATTGATTTGAAAAAAAAGTTACCAAGTCACTACAAAGTGACTCGCTATCAGCCCTGCGATTTCCCAGTTCACTGGTCACCCTGGAAAAAGCTTTAGAAATGAGTATCGTTATTATTTGCAAAAAAAAAGCAGAACAAGTAATAATGTTAAATTTTTCAGAATTATTCAAATCTAAACAAACTATAGAGGCTGAAAATTGAAGAATACCATATTTCGAGCGCTAGGAAATTTGGTATTAGGTAGGTAGGTTATTATGCTCTTTATTGCAGTTTTTCCTTTTTTTCCAAATATGAGCAGTTCTTTCGAGTTATATTGTAGCAATTAATTTTGGTATTTTGAGCTTCGCATACTGAGTGAACGGTCACAAATAGTAGAATCAGGAAATTATCGACAACTTTTATGTGTCAAACACATGCTTTACAACCTCCTCTTGTAACTTACAAATACAAAATAGCATTAGAACATCTAATGATTTCATAATTCCGCTAACCATTTTTAATACCGCAGTGAGTGGAGGCAACCTTGCATGTAAGGAAATGTTTTTCGGGGAAAAACCAAAGTCGAAAGTTGTAGTACATATGTATATTGTACTGTTATGGGTCAACAATAGAATTAGATGGTTTGCAATAACATTTTCAGCTCATGCTCATTTATTTTAGTGTTTGAGCAACAAAGAAAGGTAGATAAAATATAAATTCGAATTTAATATAAGCCTACACTACTACTGAACTGAGCTGATAAAAACCATGACGCATCATGGATATTATGACTAATTACGACAAGAAAACAACTTACCCCACCAAGGTAAATCCCTCCGGTGCCTGCCGCAGTCTTGAACATAGGATGATATCGGTGATGGCTTGTTTGGCTACTCCTTTTTTGGCCAGTCGATAGACCAACTGTTTTTTGCGCCATGCTTTTTGCTCACTGTCGGCCGTCCGAGTCAACTGCGAGAAGCCTTCCGGTAAGGCTTCCTTCTCGCCGATTACTCTCAACGTTTCTAGTATGTAGTCGGGCAGTCCTTCTGTTTTCGATTGGCACAGATAGCGGCAACTTCTTCTGCCGAAGAGGATATTTTCATGCCAAAGATCTGCATCCTGGTCTTGGTCGTAAGTCTTATTTATTGGCTGAAAATTTTTCGGGCATTTCTCGTAATCCTCTACAAGCTGCAGGGATGTGATTGGTCGATTATCTGGCAGAACACTGATAATAGTATTGAGAATGTTTTTCTGTTGCTGCGTTTTCGTCTTCAGCATTATGCTATCGATGGATTATCTTATCTGACAAAACCCAAATAAATATGACTCACGGCTATTTGCTTCGCCTTCAGGCACTTATCAGCATTAATATTTGTTACCTAGTACCTTTACAACTTAAATATACACAGCAAAACACATAAAAATTAATTCTCTTCACTATGCGTAGAAAATTTCCACTTTCACTGATCCTCTGCCTTGATGTTTCGTTGTGACGAAAACTACTAAACCATCGATTCGATTGGAATTTTGAAATCCTACACATTCAAAATTATTACTATCCGCTCTATTTTCTCCTTCCACTCTGCCCGACAAAAAATAAGTTAGTTTTCTTCTTTGACCGTCGTCACACGTCCAAAGGGACTGCTAAATCGAAAAACGGTACAACCGAAAATTAAACAAAGAAAGGCCAATGATGCCTAATGGTGGCGAAGCTATTAGAGAAGTAGTGCCAAAACCAACCCTAATTCTTATAAGCCAGTGCACTAGAACTAGAAGTAGCTAGAATTTAACTTATTTTTTCAGTTTCAGCCTCCCTGAAGCGGACCACCTCTCGACGACCAAACCCGAACTAGAACTACCAACCAAAGCGACTTTAATTAAAGAAGCTCAATCGACTCGAAAATGTAACTGGGGTGAGTGAGAGCGAGAATAAACACACTACAGCTTTCAGATTGACTTTTGGGCCTGTTTTGACATTAAAACTGAGACTGGGACTGTCAACACAATTAGGTCTACTACTCAAAATAGATCCCAGTGGCGAAATTTAGTCCGCTGTACTTCAAATTTAAGAATTTTGGATTAACAATAGAAAAGGGCCTATCAGGATTTGTAAACAAACCGTTCTAAACTGAGTACTGCGAATAAAGAGCCTGAATTTATAAAGAGACGACTTGTCAAAATTTGAACAATCGATTATCTGTCAAAGTCATACGAAAAGTTATTCCAATCGAGCAGAAGACCTGTCAAATTGATAAGATGTCGTCTCTTTATAAATTCAGGCTCTTTACTGCGAACTAACTCCAAATGCTTGTCATCTGGGAGCCGAGTCAAACTGTCAATCGGGAGCTCAATATTCAAAAGAGCTCAGAAGTCACGTAGGTAGTTACTGTTTGAACCACAAGTAAAGGTGTTGTCACCTACTGAAAACAAATTAAGAATAATAATTATGAAACAGGCAAAACATCAACCTTAGTAGGCGGATAATGTAAATCATCGAGCTCGAAAAAGTGTTTTTATTTGATATTAATAATGCCAAAACTGGGTTGCTGAAACAAGAATGTAATCAAACTTTACAAGAGTCATGTGAGCTTTGTGGGCAGGTACAATCCCATCACCATGTATACGTTATTTCTGGAGCAGAGGAGGAAGAGCCAAGAGTTCATTTGACAGCATGTATATATATACATTTTCGTGAGCGGTTTCAGCAAAACAATTTGAAACTTCGGAAGATTTTCAAGATGTTTTCTAGCTCACTTGAAAAATAAAATCGGCTGAGTTCGCAGTACTCAGGTTCTAAAGCCCTTTCCTCACAAAGCGGTAGGGAAAACTTTCTCTTATCCGATGATGGTGTTGGTTTGCGTGGACGACCATCACTTTGTGAGGAAAGGGCTTTAGAACGGTTTTACAAATTCTGATATTTCTGATGGGCCCTTTTCTATTGTTGATCCAGAATTATCAATTTTGTCAAGCTTCTACAGTAATTTCCCACCAGATGTCACTGCTGCTGTTTGCGGTGACATCTATCGGAAACTTTGCATAATCTGTTTTCCGTTAATTGTTCACAGAGGACAGTGCAGTGAAAAAACACGTCTGGTAGTACCTCTATACATGTATTTAGATTAACATCCAAAGTCCCTCCTTTCCTGGCTGGATCAAATTACTGGTCGCAGTGGTTTTATGTCCCGAACAGAGAAAAAAAAGAAACTGAGAGCCATGAGCAAGAAAGAGAGCAACACTAGTTTTTTTATATCGAAAATGACCAATCTCAGTGGTTTACTGCACGGAGAATAAATACTACCCAAAATTTGAGTTCTTTTACTTTATATTGAGTCCAACCTTTCACTTGCACTCTTTATTGTTATCAAAAAAGGAACGAAAGCTTCGACCCAACGATATAGTTCAGCCATAGAGGTAACTCTAAGACCACTGGGTCCCGAAGAAAATCATTATTATTTTTGGCTCACTCAGTACCAGAACAACGGTCCCAAGCAGTCCCAAGCTATTTCACTCACCCCTGCATGTTCTGCATGAATCCACACACCCCTGATGTTATCTGTCAAATTTTCATAGCGAATCAAAACAAACATAGTGTAGTAATAGAATTTCAACTAGAATAGGGTACGTTAATCGTTTGCTTGGGACCAATAGGCTACTAAAGTGGTGAGCCAATTTAAAATCGTTAGTTTCGTATTGATTGTTGGTTCAGCCCAATAAGTTACTTTTGAGTAAATTGCATATTCTCAAATCTACGTGAATTAAACTTAATTTTTGGTAGAACATACTTAAGGGTGCTGATGTTAAATGGAAACTATACTATATGCGATTTACTCAAATTTGGGTTATTTGGCTGCCGCGGAATTGAGGGAAAAGTACTTAATTTTGGGTAGTCTTTCCACTGACAAACCGACATGAATGACCATGCAAAGTATCATAAAATTTCTGATCAAAGCACAAAACTGACATCTAGCACCATGTTCGCGTAAAATGTGTATCCTAGCCACGATCATGCATACAAAATTTATGAGTTGTTTCGTGGTTATGCCGTTATGGATTTTCAAGCAAGAGTTAAGTTTTAGCACAGGCAATCAGACATAGCTCTCGCAAGTTGTTCATCGAACAAGCATTAAACGGTCAATTTAAAAGTATCGTAGTTGGAAGTACCATAGAGGTAACTCTAAGACTAGAAGGTCCTGAAATAACGTGCTCAACTTTTTGGCTCAGCTCTGGTACTCTCTTCGGTCCCAAGCTAATCGATTCACCCCTCGAAACATAGGAAAAACCAATAACCCCTCATTTTATCTGTCAAACTTTCATAGCGAATCAAAACAAACATTGCGTAGTACTAGAATGGGGTACGTTAATCGTTTGCTTGGGACCAATAGGCTAGTCAAGTAGTGAGCCAATTTAAAATCGTTAGTTTCGTATTGATTGTTGGTAGTACCGCCACCTGTGGCGCACATAGTAAATTCCCTTGCGTTTGACGTTTACACACTGTGGTGTCCAAAATCTGCTGATTCCTCCATAACGAACTACTCGCCTCGAAAATCGTCACAAGAATGTCGTTCCATCAAAGAGCACAAGATGAGTCCGCTTGTCCTCACACGCATTCTCTTTCCCTCTTGATGCTAAACCCTTACTCGATAGTTTCTATCTCACTCTTCCTCTCTCTGTCTTATTCCAAAAATGCTATCTTCCGGAAATACTTTTTCTCTTGTCTTAACCGTTTCTACCGTTTCGTTTTATTCCATTCCCAATACACCACCTAAAGTATACCTTGTGTCGAACCTCGACTGTATCCAAGAAATATTTCTTCCTAATAATATTATTTTCATAGGGTTAGAGAAACGTCATCAGATCACTGTGAAATATTTCTTCCTAACAATTGGTTTGGGTCTGAGATCATCTTATTTACTTGTATGCCATTAACATCATTTTCATTTCAAGTCTTTATTGCTCAGTTTCATTTAATTACTTCCTTACTTCGTACTCTACACACACTACCGGCATCTGTTCAGCGTACTACCAACAATCAATACGAAACTAACGATTCTAAATTGGCTCACTACTTGACTAGCCTATTGGTCCCAAGCAAATCGACTAACGTACCCCATTCTAGTATACATTCCAGTACTGCACTATGTTTGTTTTGATTCGCTATGAAAGTTTGACAGATAAAATGAGGGGTTCGTGGATTTTCCTATGTTTCGAGGGGTGAATCGATTAGCTTGGGACCGAAGAGAGTACCAGAGCTGAGCCAAAAAGTTGAGCTCGTTTCTTCGGGACCTTCTGGTCTTCAAGGGGGGCGACTCTATCTACGATGCAGAAAAGATTGTGTTTTGCTGTGGCTAGCTGCACGCACGCTGAGTAGATAGAAGGAAGATTTATGTCGATTTTGAAGATTTCCTGCAAAAAGATGAAGCACGATCGAGAGCACGATACAAGTAGATGCGAGAAATGAAAGATGATTTTTTGAAGATTGATTCGCTAGTGTGAGATTTTTTGAGCATCTAGAATTGAGATTTAGATGTGTCGCCCCCCTAACTGGTCTTAGAGTTACCTCTATGGTACTACCATAGAGGTAACTCTAAGACCACTGGGTCCCGAAGAAAATCATTATTATTTTTGGCTCACTCAGTACCAGAACAACGGTCCCAAGCAGTCCCAAGCTATTTCACTCACCCCTGCATGTTCTGCATGAATCCACACACCCCTGATGTTATCTGTCAAACTTTCATAGCGAATCAAAACAAACATAGTGTAGTAATAGAATTTCAACTAGAATAGGGTACGTTAATCGTTTGCTTGGGACCAATAGGCTACTAAAGTGGTGAGCCAATTTAAAATCGTTAGTTTCGTATTGATTGTTGGTACTACCCACCACAGTGTACTCAACAGATGGCGGTAATGTTTTAGCGACGATGTTTTACAGTGATAAATATGCAATGTGTTATGTCTGTTGGTCTGTGGTTTTAGTTTCATGTCGGTTTGGTTATTTATTAGGGCGTTCAAAAGTTCCATGGAAGATGTAGTTTAACTCGTTCATCAAAAAAAGATAACGCCTGTTGGATGAATTCAGTACCCAACGCTACTACAATCAATTGCTGCTTCTACTATCGCCAGTGGGCTTTTCAGGTCGAATCCTTCCTGTTTTCTAGATTGTAGATAATTCCAAGTAATTCAGAGAATCTTCCACTTGCTAGTTGGGTACTTAGGCCTCGACTTAGGCTGTGTTCCATTTGGTGAATTTTCACTTAAATTTGACACTTTGAAAATAAATTAAGATGTTCGAAAATCCCTCTGTTGTTGATCGGCCGATTTTCGAGAAGGTGTGCGTCAAAATTGATTCCTTGTCTGTCAGAAATAAGTCTGGTACAATAGCAGGTTTATTTGAAAATTTTCCATCTATCAAATTTAAGTGAAAATTCGCCAAATGGAACACAGCCTTAGTTCTCGACTTAGTTTCGGCAAACGTGTGTCAGAACTGGATTGAACAAATTCTAGAAAATTGTTTCGCGTTTACGCCCTTATGCATGCTCACTGTCGAATTATATGATTTGAGTAATAGCTGTACTGAAGATCCGAAAGATGTCACCCCTTCATTGGAAGGAAAATCTTGACTTGAAAATCTTTCACAGAAGGAAACAAATTAAAGTGTTTTTACCTTATCACATAATGTACTCGTGCAATTTTTGTGCATCTAAAACTGCTCATAAAGATGATAAAGAATAAAAACTGAAAATTTTCATACATTTCCAAATGGTTTCCTTCCATTCCCATACATTCGAAAGTGATTGGCCCTCTGGATGTGAATGATGTCAAAAACAACAAAACATGATTAATTGCCAAACTCATGGGACACTGAGACTGATACCAACCGGTGAACACTCGTGTTTATTTCAGTTACCATGGAGACGTAATTTGTGATTAGCCCCGGTCCCTTTCAAATTGTTTCATTATTTATCAACGGCCTTATATTTGAAATGACGTTTCACATTCATCTAGTGATGTCCGATTTTCATTCGAATAATCGTTTAATCGATTAACGAACCGAAAAGTAAACTATTTATAATCGGTTAGATCATGCCGATATAAGCATTAACATCTCCACAGGATCATCACCGATCGTTTCAAACATGTGCTGCACTCTCATTGGTGGAAAAATGGCAGCACAACGAACAAAAAATAATTGATTAGTTATTAAAAAATGGGACACCTCTGATTTTGGTGTGATTGTTTTGATAAAAATGAGCGCAAAATTTCATCTCTTCCGAGGGGGCAGCAAAACCACAAAATTACCTTGAATACGGGGGGTTCTCATTGCATGAAAGGGACCGTGAAAGAAGACACTAAAATAGAAAGTTTTTCTTCCGACAGTTTCATCTTAGTATTCATCTTTGCTGATACCTTGATCACCGACAAACCGACATGACACTTAATTCAGACTTATGCCCGAAAACCGTAAACGGCCGATATACACAGCAAAAAAAAAATGTAATATCGATCAACGTAATTCAAGCTGATGTATGAAATAATGATGTAATAGCAAAAAGCAGATACAAATTTACATCAATGGATGTAATTTTGTTCGCAAAATCGATGTACATCGTACAACGTTATATTACACAACCGATGGATTGACCTGGTTGCAGCAGTTTGGATGTAATATTCAACAACTTTTTTTCTGTGTAAATGTGCAGTGATCCGAACTGTCAAAACCATAGGATTTTTTTATCTAGATCAAAATAATTTGTCCAGATTAGGTCAGACACGAACTTATTCATGCATGCGGGTTCATGGCTTAGCTAAATATTTCCCGCGAACACGGAGCCAGATGTCAGTAGTGTGCTTTGGTCAAATTTTGTTTTGTTTTTGCTATGGTCATTCATGTCGGTTTGTCGGTGAATTGATTGCTACACACTTCTGCATGTTCGGAACTGTCCGGAATAAAGGCTGGGGCACAATGCATAAGTTTCCATGTTGTTTGACAGATAATGCATGGGCTAACTGTCAAAAAACCTGAAAACTTATCCATTGTCCACCGGCCTAAATGCTTGGCCAAGATTTCGGCACAGATTGAGATACCCTAAAAAATAACCATAAAAGAGAGCTTAACGACGTGTTCGGGGTATCATCCAAACCATTTGTGGGATAGATTACCAATCCTGGATACAGTTCGTTTATGGTATTTATTTATTAGGGTATGCAGAGTTGAACACCCCGTTAGGTATTACTTCCCGCATAAACAATACCCATAAGGAATGCCTAACAACCTATTCGGGATATCATCCCAACAATATGTGGTACGGTGGCACGATTTGTGGTATCTTTCATGTATGGTGTTCGTTTATTAGGGTTGTGTGCTGCGGAGCCGTTGGATTTTGTTTTGCAAGCCAATGGAAAACTGCTTGAAAATTTTCTTAAGTTTAAAACTGTTTTGCTCGTTCTCAGTTGATTCCCGCTAAAAGCTCTGCCAGAAAAAAAATAACAACAAAAATACATTAAAAAACAATGTAACAATAAGACGAAAATTATTGTCTTAACAATGATTTATATTATTACGTCTGCAATAAATTTACCTTGATTTATGTTGTACAAAACAGTAAATTTCATGGTTAATGGAATTTACAATAAAAAAGGGGGGTTGTTAACGAGGTTGTTAAGTATCTTAACAATTAAATTTTCGTGATTTCCCCACATATTTTTTTTTCAATAACATTATATATTATTGTTATTTTGATGTTGCTTGTCGAATTTATTGATTAAAAAAATAACAGTGTACTTTAGAGTGTATGTATTGGCTTGACAGATCTACTTTATCGACTTTAAAAAGAAATCAAAAAAAATAAACATCGCCTTGGGAAGGGAAGGGGTGGTATGTCTGTTACGGGTGAGTCCTTTTTTTACTGGTTACGGATTGAGATTCGATCCGGAACTTGTGAGAAATGTAGGCCAACTCCCCTGCACTCGATCTCCCTAGGTTACGTCTCCTTGGTGGTTGAACGTCGTTGATAAGTTAATGCATTCGACTGGAGAGAATCGCCCATGAAATATGCTTCCACCTGAGAGTTCCTTCCTGACATCTTCAAGTGGTGGAATTTTTTATTATTATTGTATGATTATTGACTGCGCGGAAAAGGTCTGCATTAAGCGGGATTTAGATGAGGCAGGTGAGTTGAATTCAACTCAAATCGATCTGGTCATAGGCGTTCAACTGACTTGGCAACGAATAGAGCAAGTCCGATATCGGTCAGATTTCTGAACGTTCATTTCGCAGTTCAAGTAATTGAACCATCTTAACCCAGCTTTAGAGAGGGTCTAGGATAAGAGATGAGCGGACGCGGACAGGCTGGTTTTGAGCCAAACGAACTGTGAAAGCCAAAGCCATACGAGCAGCGCCTATCTTGATTACATTGGCAGTGTTGCTGAACCCTCTCATAGTCTGCATGCTTCAATCAGATTTATTTTTATTGTTCGTGAAGTAACCCACAATGAAAACACACCAATATTTAATGTTACAAATTTTTTTATTGTAATAGAGTTGTTCATTATTGTTCATGATCGAATCATGTTAACAATAAATAAATGAAAAATACGATAAAAATCATTGTAACAACATTTTATTATGTACATTCATTGTACAGCTAGGTAGCAGTTTTGCCGTTTTCGGAAGTGTGCAACATTATAAAAATCATTTTTACTGTCGACAATAAATATTAATGTTAGAGCATTGTTTCCACTGAAAATTTCACTGTAATTTTTTTTTCGGGTGAGCCTCGTTCTGAGCCAGGAGGGATGTTTTGCCAAAGTATGTTTTACTGCAATAGAAAACTCGGCTGAGTCATAAAAACTTTCATCACCGACAAACCGACATGACAATTAATTCAGACTTATGCCAGAAAAACGTAGACGGCCGATTTAAATGTGCAGTGATCCGAACTATCAAAACCATAGGATTTTTTATTTAGATAAAAATAATTTGTCCAAAATAGATCAGACATGAAACAATTCATAACTTTTGCATGCGGTTTCATGTGGCATAGTTAAATATTTCCCGCGAACACGGAGCCAGATGTCAGTAGTGTGCTTTGGTCAGAACTTTTATTGTTGTTGCTAGGGTCATTCATGTCGGTTTGTTGGTGCTTTCATCGTTGAGTGTGCTGATTTTTGTCTTCAAGCTTAAAATTAAGAATGTGTTATGAAAAAGTTTGGATCATATTTATGATATTACAATGCTTGACGATAGATAAAACAGTAACTGCAATTAGGCTGCCGTTTGACAGTTCGCACTAGCTCCCAAGTGACAAGCACATTGAGTGAGTCCGCAGTACTTAGGATATTATAGAAAGTTTTATTTCCAAAAGCTAATAGGCCCTTTTCAATTTTTGGCCGAAATTTTTATAAGTAATTTTAAGTGGACCGAACACCAAGTGGCATATTTTGACAGATGCAGAACTTATCTAGATTAGAGATCAGGTTGCACACACACAACCACGATTTTTACGGAAAGGTTCCGCGATACTCCTCTTTTGATGAGTGGCAACGCCATTTTTGTAGACCTCACAAATTCGTCTCCTGTCACCAGCAGTAGCAGCAGAAGTGCTTACAAGCAATCGAAAAAGTTTTGATTTATCGGTGTGAAAAGTGTCGAGCGGTGCTCAAAGTAATTGAATTTTCTCGCCCGAATCCCGCCGTGTCGGTTAGTATCATTTTGTGACGGTTTTAATCGCGTTTCTCGAGTGTTTTTTTCCGTCGAAAGTTGGAAGGTAATTTTTCTTCACTCTGCCCCACAACCCGGTCGCGAAGATCGTGATTTTCTTCTTGTTCGGTGTTTCTTACTCCTACTCACACAAAGCAGAAAGAGAGGTTCTCTTTTTGTACGTCCGCACTCCGCATAGCAAATGACGACGACGACGACGGTTTGTGTGTATCAGTGAGGTGTTTCAGCCTTTTTGTTGGAAAGAATCGCAGTCCAAAAGTGAAGTGAAAACGCTTTCATCGACTGTTCTCCATAGAATCATTCCACTCAGGTTCCGTGTCGGAATATCAGGCTTGAATACGGGAATCGGTTCCGGACGATCCGTTTCTGTTTTCGAAGAAATCCTTCGATTCGAGTGCAAAAACAAAAAAAAAAAAGATCAAGCGCGTCTGTTGGTTGTGTGCGTGTACGTATCGTGTGTGTATAGATCAGAGCTAGTGGGTCGTGTTTCCGGTGGTGGTGCGGTGGAAGCACTCGCGTTTTTTTCTTTCCGTCTTTTTCGAAGGGGCAAGTGGAAAAGCGAAGAAGAGCTAAAGAAGAACCTTGCAAACGAGCAAAGATTTCCCGTTACGAAGCCTGAGTCCATAAAAATCTGAATCAGAAAATCATTTTCTAGCTCCAGATTTTTTAAGAGAAAACATCGGATTGATTGAAAATTCTAATTCCGTCGCAATCGTTGAGGGGCGGAGGAAAAGTTTCTGTGTAAAATTCATCGCCCGTATCTAGAGCAGCAGTAGCAGCAGCAGTCGTCTGAGGAGAGGCCAGTAGGAGTGAAAAGATTCCCATTGTCCGAAAAATCCGCAAACGTCATCTTTTGCTTTCGGAGAATCGTCTGCCGTCGTACGAACGGCAGTGAAAGGAGAAGTGTAAATCCCGGAAGCAACCGAAAGCGAACGCTTAATCAAGGACTTTGGAAAAAGTGAGTTTCGCGTTATTTTATTCAGATGTTATAGGTATTCTAGTACTCTAACTTTAGATTGGTGTAATGGTATACGATCAATGTATGCACTGGGGTTTTCCCAAGACTTGTAGATAATTGGTAATAATTGATCGGATTTGCTGTTTCTTGGGCTGCCATATAACATCAAGAAAGATTGACGATTTTCATCAAAGTATGGATTAAAAATTGAAATTCAAGATCGAGAACAAAGATGGGTGAATATAGGAAATCTGGGCCACCAGGTTTGTGGAGAATGTGTGGTCTAACAGAATCTTTTACACCTGTGATTTAGAGCGTTGTAGGAATAGGTGTGAGACAGTAAATATTAAATTCTAACTAATATCTTTGGCCATTGGAGAACCCGGAGAACCTAAAGGAACGCATCTTGCAACCAGGATCAGTGCATGAATCCACTGGAACTGTTACTGCACGGAAAAATAACCCAGACATCGCGGCCCAGTACAGTCTGTTTGTGAGCCTGGGAGATGGGAAACTCGGAGCACTAGCAGCTCGTCGTCAATAGGTGGCATGTGACCAATACTGGCAGGTTGAACTCAATGTTGAACAATGGTGTCTCACATATTATATTGCAAACTTGATCAGTATGCATTACATATTATTATCTTTAGGAAACTACCTTAAAATTGATTTGGTCCAGGGTTGATTTGGTAATGAGATCTTTGAGAATGTTAATTAAATTCCAAAGCTGAGAAAGTTTGGATTACAATGAAGATTTTGTTTTCCTCAGGAAAAGTTATAGATTTTTTTTTTAATTTCTATTCAATTTTTCTACAGATCGCTAAAAGTTTGGCAAATTAGGAAAGCTAAAATAATATTAAAAATCTGCAAAGAATAATTCCTGGTAGGGTTAACTACCCCATTTCCGGTCTATTAAGCACAACCCGCTCTTAGTCTTTCTTAATCTAGTGCAGTTTAGCAGAATGTTATTATTACTGATGGCTTCCAAATTTATTTACCTTTCCGTACGTACCAAAAGATTTGATAAAGAGAAACCAATCGTTGAGATATTGTCCAAAGTCTAACACTGCTTCTTGACGCTAAGCTCGGCCTACGGTTTCTAAACTCGGCCTAACACATTGAAACGCCAATGAATTCACTTCGGCCTATCGGAAGAAGATAAAAATTGATTCGGTCGGAGCGCTTCTTTAGTTTTGGGGAATAATGGGTGCAAACATTCATATCATTGACTTTGTTCGGAAGCTTTTTAACTAAAGTATCGTACCAAACGCATAATTGACTTGTTAACCCAAAATGGGCGATTAGGCCGAAGTAGTTCTCTACCCTAACAGTGCAAAAGACTTATTTTTAAGGAATTGTGTAAGGGTGTACTCGAATAACTTTCAACTTATTGAGGCGTTCTTTTATTTCTTAAACACGTTCAAGTACGTTTATAATTTATAAAGTCACTGACAGGTGCGATACTCGTGGGTTTTGCCGTAATGCACTGTCATATAGACAAAGCTAGTGACAGTCTAAAATACTTGTATTAAACAATTTAGGCAAACTACTAAAAAGTGCTCTCTTCAATTATGTGACGTACTTTTATTGTTATTTCGATGCCAACAGTTCATTAGGGCGAAACGTATTCTCGTTGGTTACTTTTGACACCTTGCCGAAGGTGGAAGGACTTAATATTATGCTGTATGCCTGCATGGGAGACCAAGAATTTGACCAGTAGTGAAAGTATCACATCAGGCATAACATTTGATAACGGCACAAAAGCATATTGGTTTGCGTGGGCGTACTTTGGTTCGCGTGTAAAGGGCCTTAGAAAGTTTGTTTACAAATGCTTTTGTGCCGTTATCAAATGTTATGCCTGACATATTCTGCTCTTTTATTTATTTGCCACGTCGTAGTTCTTTTATTTAAAGGCACTGACATCAGGTATGATACTGGCGGGTTTTGCCGCAATTCACACTTATATAGACGAACAAGATATTAATAATACTTTATAACAAATAATTTAGAGAAACGCCAAGAAGTGCACGTTTCAATTGCGTGACATTCATTGTTATGTATTCATTTATTATTATCGAATAAATAACCAAAATTTAATAATCTTATATATTATTATTAGCAACGACAACGGACAATGATTCGGACCAATATCATCTGGACTCAAAACTATACCTCGGCAACAAATAATGACTCGGACACGTATGAACGAAGATATCGACACAAGGAAAGCACGTACAAGGACACGGAAATGGACGAATAATGGCATTAACATTACAGCAACTACAAAGGAACAGGACACGGAACTCGACCACATGACCACGATTATTCAAAAGGACAGTAACATCGGTAGCATTAAAGAAAAATTCCCAACTCTGAAATATTAAAACTCTGTTATTATGAGGACTCCCTTCTGGAGCTACCGTCCATCCCCTAACTGCGTATCCTCAGGGTTCTCTTCTGGAACCTCACCTAATCTTCATATTAGCTTTATGGTGGAAATTGCCAACGGTTCGGGAAATTCCGAAATTATAATCCCGGAAATAAAACGACCGGTACTGGGGTGTTACTATCCAGTTGATTATTACTTTCTTGTAAATATCATTGGTTTTAACATGTTGTGATGTTTATATTTGTTTCAGACAAAACGGTCCGTGTTTGTACCTTATGTTATAAATGTTTTTTGTTCAAGTGCTCGGTGTCTGCTCATCATATCTTCAATCATGCATGAACTTACGTTTACTCCCCTTTTATGTGTTTCGTGTCCGTCAGCCTAGACAGTTCTTCTAGCTCTGGTCCTAATCGTCTGCTGTCGACTGTCTGGCAAATTTGTTCGTGCAATCACAACATTTGCTTATACTATTCAACCGTACTGTAATATATTAATTATTTAAAAAATAATAAATTAAGAGGGTTTAACTTACACTCTTTGCAATTTGTAGGCTTAGTTTTAGGTTAGGAATCTCGGGGAATTCACTTTGTAGGCATTAATCACTAAGTAAATAATGTTAGTTTAAGTATAATTCAATTTCAATCCATGTATGTTTTACCTAATAAATTCAATAGTATCAATAATCCACTAGTAGTTCTTTTATTTTAATTGTTCGAAATTGAAAACTAAATACAACACGGTGCTATGATTGATGTACTTTTCTACTTTCAATGTTATCTACTTTTCCTCTACCTTGTTTGTTTACTCTGTTTATCTTTAGTTTTCTATCCACTCACAACTACTGACATGACGATGTTCAGAGCGGTGCGCATTGGGTTGGTTGCACGATAGTCGAAGCCGAGCTGCAGTCGACCTACAGTAGCGGCGCGTTGGCGTGGACTCGCCAACAAGCTCTGTAATTAGGGGGACTCCCGTTAGAAGTCCCCACCCCTCGTTTTTAAGAGATGAACCAGCTCAAGGCTGAAAATCTCACTAATAAAGAAAAAAAAAACATATAGGGTTAACTACCCCATTTCCGGCCTATTAAGACAAATCCGCACTTAGTTTTTCTTTATCTAGCGCTAGATTTGATTTTGTTAGAGGAGAGAGTTAATACGACCGGTTGGGTTGAAACATGAGACTAAACTATACTTTATTGATGCAGTACTGACATTTATAGCATACTAGGATTATTATAATTTCACCGAGTTGCTTCGATCTCCTTCACTCCTCCTCAAGCTCGGTGAGTTGCTTCGATTACTCCTCCTCAAGCTCGGCGGGCTGTAGACCAATTTTCAGGCGCATCTTCTCCATCTTGACGCGAGCCAATGGTTTTGTTAGACCATCGGCAACCATTTGTTCACTGGGGCAATAGCGAACGTCCATCACACTATTGTTGACCAACTCCTTCACAAAATTATAGCGAGTGTCGATGTGCTTTGTTCGGTTGCTACCGCCGGCAGATTTCAGCATCGCAATACTGCTTTGGTTGCCTTCGTGTACAACTACAGGAGCCAGAATTGGTTCCCCGACGTCCTTCAGTAGCTTCATCAGCCACATCAGCTCGCGGCTGGCTTCGGAAAGCGCCACGTACTCCGCTTCGGTAGACGAAAGAGTTACGCATGGTTGTTTTCGGGCTGCCCAACTGATTGGTCCTCCAAGACAGAAGACGAAACCGGTGTTTAATTTCCGGTCTGTCTTGTCACCAGCCCAGTCTGCATCGACGTATGCTTCCAGCGGTCCGGATGAACCTAGACGTAGGCTCCAATCCACTGTTGACTGGAGATACCGGAGCGTCCGTTTTGCTTTGGTCCAGTCTGCTTTTGTTGGTCGACTCTCCTTGCGGCCCAGAATTGAGGCGCTTATGGCGATGTCCGCTCTCGTGTTGACCGCGATGTATAGAAGAGCACCCACCAGGCTCTGGAACTCGTCGTTTCTGGGCATGGGCTCAGAACTTCGATCTCCTTCAGATTTGACGAAAGAGACCAATCGTTGAGATCAATATAAAGTCTAACACTGCTTCTTGACGCCAAACTCGGCCTACGAATTCCAAACTCATTGGCATTGAAACGCCAACGAATTCACTTCGGTCTATCGGATTAAGAAAAAAAAAATTGATTCGGTCGGAGAACTTCTTTTGTTTGTGGGAATTATGGGTGCAAACCTTCATATCACGCGTTCTCATTGACTTCATTCGGTAGCTTATTAACTAAATTATCGTACCAAACGCCTAATTGACTTGTTAACTCTGAAATCATGGATTTATTTGAAGTTTCTGCTCGATAGGCCCAAAATCGGCGATTAGGCTGAAGTAGTTCTCTACCCTATTACTTAATTTTCGAATAGGGTCAAAGCCCAATAAGGAGTTAGAGAAAAATTAAAGCCTTTAGACTGAACTTATGAAAAATAGAAGGGGGGAGGGTTGTTTGCTTAGGGAGGCAAACAGTCTTGAAAGGTGTTGAATAAATCTTCCCATTTAGTTTATTTTTAATTTCAGTCAGTAGTAAGTGTTTCTACATTAGCAGGGTTTGTTGTTGTCGTTTCGTGATGAGTGTATAAGTGAAGACCACGA